AAATTATGGACTATGGTGATATTACTACGGACACAGCTGTTACATTCAAGTTCCCATCTATGTAAAATGTACTAAATGAAACACCAGCATGCAGACCTTGAGTAAGGGTTGATGTTCGGCAGTGTTGGCCTCCAGTGGGATGAAGAGCAGGATGATGACTGGTGCAGCACTGATGAGGGCAGTCGCAGTCAGGGACGACAACCAGATAGTCATCTGTGGGAAAAACAGGCAACACATCGTTATACATATTTAAATATTTACATAACAATAAAAATTATAAAGACGTTAACTTTACAAGACCAGGTGGGATTTTTAAAGTAAAGATTTTATATCTACTTACTGTATCCCTCTGTTGTCCACGGCCCGAGGTCTTAACTTCTTCTTCGTGATGATGATGTTCGTGATGTTCATGTTCATTGGCTTTTTCGTACGCGCTTGCATGGTAGAAGTGTTCATGTGTAGGTTCGTGCATGTGGTCATGGTCATGATGATGATGGTGACCATGATCGTGATGTTCATGTTCATGTTCATGGTCATGTCCCTCCTCCTCCTGGTAAGAGCTCCCGTGGTAGAAGTGCTCATGTGTGGGCTCGTCATGACCGTGGTGGTGGTCGTGGTGGTGCATGTGCCCTCCCCCGCCGCCCGGCCCGTGAGCGTGCCCGTGCCCGTGCGCGTCCGCCAGGCTCCACGCTACGCAGAAGAACACTAAAACCGCGGCGGCACACAGCCGTATGGTAGGAGAAGCGGAAAGCCGGCTCTCTGCCATTGTAGTTTGTGTGCGTGTGAGAAACATACGTGGCGTTTAGGGATCCGGGGGCAGAGGGCATACCCACAATGCTCTCATCAGTAGGTTAGAGGTCGGACAGCCGTACCCGGAAGTGAAGTGCAGGTAGCAGACGACGCAGACACAGGACGGTGTGTGCTCACAGTGTGTGCTCTTTTCTCTCTTGTAATCTAACAGGTGAAAATGCCAAACTGGTTCTATTTCACGTGGTTTAATATTACCTGCCGGACTATGGAAAGTATCGCATACCTATTCAATCTCGCTCTTGATCTAGACCTGCTTTGACAAAGCACGCATCAGTTGGATAAAGAAAGAAGTTGGCAACAGTTGAGATGACACGTGAGATGAATACAGATAATATTTCAAGACTTGAAACATTGTGTATCCTGTAAGATCCAGCGTTTGCCATGAAGTTTCACAGCTTGGCGTTGTCCTTGGAGCCGTTCTTCAGATCACAGTGTCCATCACTGATGATGACAGACTGGACAAGATGCTGCTGCAAGGTTATCCAATCTGTAACTGGGTCAACTGGTCAACACCAAAACGCACCCAACGTCTGCATTCCTTCATTAGCTAGGCCAGGTCATCTACTGCACTTTGACTTTGCGCAAGCTTCAGTTCCAGTAAAGGTAAACGATGAAACAGTGATGAGGAGCAAAGAAAACTTGTGGAGAGTTCGCAATCAAACTACCGACTGTAGATTTACTTCTGTGGCCAGAAGATGCCACTTGGACAATATGACTTCGGCCGGACAAAAGTTGTACGCAACTCTGCCTTTTGAAAGAATTGCGACTAATTTCAAACAGAGAGGAGGGTATCTTAATTGTCGACAAAGTTTCTTGGGCAGTCCTCTAAGCAGATGCTTTCATAGCTCTTCTAGAGTGTCCAGAAAGGATAGAAAGCATCCTAAAGACAGACCTGATGTCTTAGAGAGTACAGAAGAAGGCACAGACGTCGCGAATGACCTTGGCTCAGATGGCACGTATAGTGAAGACGAGGAGTATGACAATGAACTTGATGACGAGAACTTGACAGACGAGTTATACGAAGAGCAAGTGACCTTGGTGACCCCCGAGGGAGGCCACAAGGTCATTGTGGTACAGCCCAATGTGAAGTGGGGAGCAAAGAAACAACACCTTACCACAGGTAAAGCCTTTCATTCACCATAGGTGAAAATGCCTAGTAAGTATCTTGTAATGTTTAAAGTTACAACTTACATAAGTAAAGATACAAATGTACCTCTTATACAACATGCTCTTAAGAGTCATTTTTCTGAGCACTTGAATATTGGCTGAAATTGCTCAACCGAATTGAGCACTACCGGTACTGGATGTGACGTTCATTTGTGGTTCATTGTGCTGGTCAAAGCTAAAGAGCCGGGGGAATTTCCCCAATACTCACTCAGTGGAGGATTGGCTCTTCACTGAGGTATTGATAAAAATGGCTCAATATCATTTTCACTTTGACACTTTTCTTTTAATAGGTGAGCTGATGCTAGCAGAGTCTGTGGCACTAGTGGAGACCTTACCTTACTGGACGGTGGTGGACACAGTCTTAATGTCTACAAAAACACCAGACAAGAAGATGATCTTTGGAAAGGGCAACTTTCAGACTCTAACAGAAAAGATTCAGGTCTGCCTTTTGGATGAGATTGTAGCATTGATACTTTTTTGATTACAAGAAAGCTTTTTTTAAAGCAGTTTACATAATTTTAAGATTTTGCTGAAATCCAAGGTCTTATTGGTAACTTCTTCAGAATTTCTGATGTATTGCAACAACTATCAAATATCTGAAACATTCTTTTTGTATGTTTAATATTTCCCCCCACAGACCATGAAGGAAGTGACTGCAGTGTTCCTGAGTGTTGAAGCTCTGACAGGCCGGCAGCAGAAGGAGATGGAGGAGGCATGGGGAGTCCCTGTGTTTGACAGGTATATCAGAGCTTTGACTGTAGCAAAGCCCCATTTGATAGTACATTGTAACTGCTACATGTAGCCCAGAGTCCAAACCTATTTTAGCACCAGAATCTTTTTCATCCTCTCTGCAGATTCACCAGGCGATGCTACATATACATTGTATCATGCTTCTCATCAGTTGAGGATAAATCATTTGCCTTTTACCTTCATTAGTTGAATTTTTGACATCCCACATTGGTTTCAAGACTTGGTATTCATGCTACAATAGCAAGTTCTGTTTCACACATGTACAATGACCTCAACATCTCACTTGCAGATACACAGTGGTACTACAGATCTTCAAGGACCATGCACGAACCAAGGAGGCAAAGCTGCAGATAGCCCTGGCAGAGATTCCCTACCTCAAGTGAGTACTAGTATGATTCACAAGATGCATACTTCCAATCAATAAATCAATCAATCAATCAACTGTTGGGACAATCTCTTTAATAACTGGAAAAATATTGATTCTTGTAATTGTTTAGTCCTTATTCTCAGAAATGTGTGATTAAATTTTCAGGGTCATGATAGGGTTCAGATATGCAGATATAAAGTTCAACTGATTTTTTGCTGCAGAGACACCCATGAACAAATGGTAGAATTAGTTATCATCAGAAAAAATTACCATATTTTCAAGACAGTGACTACAAAATCTCCCATGCAAGCCACTCTATGTTATATGAGTTGGAACGGGCCCAGAGACAACCCCATATATGGGTATTCATACATTCCGGCATATGCATAGGGTTAGGGTTGTCAGAAGGTAGGGAAGTAACTTCTTGTTCCTGTTCTTTCAGAACCAGAATAAGTGAGGAGGTAGCCAACCTTGACCAACAGAGAGGTGGCGTGAGGACCCGGGGTGGGGGAGGGGAGACATTCCGAGAGCTTCGGAGGAGAGTTCTGAGACAGAAGGAGACAGCCATCAAAAAGGCCCTGGTACGACTCAAGAAGAAGCGTGACCTCCTCAGACTGGGCAGGACAAGGAAAGAAATACCTGTTGTGTCTGTAGTGGGGTATACAAATTCAGGTGAACAATTTCTCTCATTTGCTATTGTCATGGATTATCATCCAAAAGATTATTTCTAGTGCTTAAGTAGTCTTTTGGCTAGGCAGCAGGGAGAAGATTAGATTTATACTAAGTTTACATTGGGACTGCTAGGGATTTGAACCCAGTACCTTTGAATTCTAAGTCAAAACCCTAACCACCTTGCCATCCTGTTTGTTAGATTGTTAGGTCTACATTTGGCCTGCCAGGGATTTGAGCCCAGTACCTTTAGATTCTAAGTCAACGCTAGCCCTATAAACCACCTTGCCACCCTGTAAACTGTTGTGCAGGTAAAACAACGCTAATCAAGGCCCTGACCGGTGAGGAGAGGATCCAGCCGCAGGACCAGCTGTTTGCCACGCTGGACGTCACAGCCCATGCCGGTCAGCTCCCCTCCAAGATGACCGCCCTGTACGTGGACACTGTAGGGTTCCTGTCACAGTTACCACACCATCTCATCGCCTCCTTCAATGCCACATTAGAGGATGTCAGGCTATCTGTAAGGATTTATGACATTCATGATTTTTTGGCATTGCCTTAGGGGTGGAGGCATTAGTTATACCTGGGTATTATCATTTGCAGCTAGTGCATAGCTGTATACTGTAGTGGTATCCAGTGTTTGGTGATAAACATACATTGTACATAATTGTTACTGATAGTACCTTTGTTGTTGGATCAGTTGTCCCCAAATATGATTTACTGGTAGTGGAAATGGATGTTCTTTTTCCCATTTTTAGGATTTGATTGTTCACATTCGAGATGTGAGTCATCCAGACACTGTGAACCAGAAACACAATGTCCTAGAGGTTCTCAACAACTTACAACTGCCACAACATTTGCTGGACAACATGATAGAGGCTAACAACAAAATAGACTTGTTAGATGGAGAAAGGTATTTCATTATTATGATCTAATCATGCTTCTAAAGAGCTTTTTCCATATGGTGCAGAGAGGGGCTGACTGCCATGTTGGTGTCCCTGTTTGCATTTCAGTGGATTATAGTTGAAGTATACACAGTATATCTGTGTTTTGTTATCAATTTTTTAAAAAAGTGCTCGTCTTCCTGGTATTCTTTATCTTCCTTGAGCAATACCATAGTGGTTATTTCAAAGGGTCAGGGGATCTGACTTATGATGTCCAAAAATGCTGGAGCTATGATTGACAGAAATGCAAATAGGGACACCAGCATGGTGTGGGTGGTGACATCATCTAAGAAAACTCTACAGCTAACAGCCTATTCACTACAGCTGTCATTACAAAGACTAGGTTGAAAAAATTGCCTTCCTGTAAATAACATTCAACTTAACGCATCTTGCCCTTCACAGCTCAGTACCAGAGGAGGATGAGGACACCGTTATAAACATCTCAGCTCTGCAGGGTACAGGACTGGACAGGCTGAGGGAGGTTGTAGAGGAGAAGCTGTTTGTAGCCACAGACACAGTCATGACTACACTCAGGATTCCCATGGCTGGGCCACAACTCAGGTATATGAGATCCTCATATTCTGTATACCTAATATCAGATCACACCAGTTTATTTCATTGGTTTCGTTGTATGTAATGTAGTATTCTGTATCTGTATAACCACTATATTTACCCTTCAGCATAAAAAAAACAGCTTCACAGGCACACAGTGCGGCTGCAATACAGTAGTTCTAGGAAGAAATGAATATTTCAAAACCTCAATCCTTTTTTGGTTGAAAACTCAGACTGGTATTTGAAAGAATGACTAAACCTTGAATAAAAAGTTTTGTTTTTTCTAGCCAACTGTACAAGAATGCCACAGTCCAGGGTGTGCAGGTGACAGAAGATGCAGAGCACCTGGATGTTGATGTCATCATGGGGAAAGCTGCATTTGCCAAGTTCATGCACGCATTCAAGGGAAAAGTCAGACAACTTTAGGAATACAAAAAAACGGTATAATATTTTGATATTCAGGGATATGAAAGACAGTCTGTATCTTGTGGTGTATTTATTAGAATGGCTGAATGTACTGATGTCTGTAGGAAACTCAACGGAAGCCAATATGTCACTAGTTTGAGTCCAATATTATCAATATTTCCATATGTATTGTATATCCACACAACATGTAACCAGGGCTACATCATAATGCATGTGTGTGCATGCAACGTGCATGTAACATTAAATGTTTCTGAAACATTTGAGTTCATATCTGATATATCAGCATAGTCATTAAATTATGTACAGTCAATTTGTTAATTATATGATATAAGTGCCTGAAAATGGACATGAAATTGACAATATATCAGGGTGACAGTCACAAATAAACTTTTGACAAGTAGCACCTAGTGTGTCACTCTGATTGACTCCTGTTGCTTATTGCTTGAGGACAATAAACAATATTCTAACAACTATATGTTGATTCAAATGTTGAATAAGTCATATCTCTGGTTTATTTCCACATTAAGAAATAACTTGTCAAAATAAACTGAGGAACACAGATGTGGTTTTATGAATATGATAATTATTTGCTTGATTTATCGTCAACAGTTCACTTTAGTTTTTATATCCTTCTTTATTACTAGTAATTATGTTTATCGAAGGAAAACATATTGTTTTTCCTCCATTTCTTCTTCTCCAAACACTAACCTCTGACCTGGCCTCTTTTGTTGACGTCTGTCACCATAGTAACTGGTGTTGGGTTACATAATGTTGCAAAAGTTGCAATCTCATAGTAGGCATTTAGACTCCTGTCACCGATATACATGTATGTGAATGTGTTTGAGTATTAAAGAATTAACAAAGCAGACCATATCCGAAGGTAAACATTATGCATTTGCTTTGCAAATGTTACTTTTCTAGTTAATTTCACATTTTTCCAAATCTGGTGTTATGGCATGCCCCAAAGTTGTAGAGGACCTAGAGCATGATGGGAAAATGACGTCACGTGAAAACTTTTCCGCGGGCTTTTGCTGATTGCAACAAAATGCATATTTCAATCTGAAATAAAATACAGCAAATTTAGACGTTGAATGGCACAACTAGACTTAATCAAAAATTGAAACTACATTACAAATTTGGCTGAGATAGTGGTTTTGACAAGGACCAACAAAATAAGGATTAAGACGAGGTTACAATATTCTTGTTTGCGCTTCCATGCCATGAAGCCACCGGAGGGCACGATTTCCTGAACTTTGACTTTCCAAGAATTTATTTCTGAACAACTCCGCGGGAAAATTGAGCTTCTATAGCGGGAAAAGAGGGGTTTTCCGGATTTGAGCGGTGCCTGGAGGGACACAGAAGGTAACAACATAGGTATAGTCGTCAAAAACGTCGGTAGATTCATACGAGGATGGTAAAAATCGGAAGATACTTGATGCATGCGTTGGGGAATGTGCGAAGCCATGATTTATGCAAATCTGTCTCGATTAGGACCAAAACAAACTCGTGGGAGTGAAAGTGTTGACTTAGATTAGCTTATTACGTGGTGCTCTTTCTATAGACATTGGGTCTTCGCGACATAACACTGTTTTAAAATCTGCTATTAAACCACTATGGAACTTTTAAATAGTCGTTGTTGAGCACTGCCACAGATGTATTTGTAACCTCTGGAAGAAGTACAGTGATTTACATGTGTGATGGAATGCAGACCTGTTGACAGGATGAGGAATAGAAGGCTCTATTTTCTTCATGTGAATAACAATAACCAGTAACATGAGACATATTTGCAACTGAAAAGAGGTAACATAAGTTGTTTTTTTAGGAGCAATAATTGCTGCAAGGCCCCCGAGACAGAGCTTTCCACTGGGAATTGAGATCACATAATACATACTTACGATCAGAGCAACTTCTAGAAATGTGATTTTGATCAACTATTTTAAATAACAATCTCTGTTACTTAGTGTTACCAGCAAAACAAAAAAGCAGAACACTGGATCATCATTATATAACATTTAGCAAGACTTGCATAATTAGTTACTACTTATCCTTGCCACCAGGCATCATGACAATTTATAAACATGTGCAAATCAGTAAATGCAGTTTAACAGTGATTTTTATCAACTCTTGTCCATTACTTTTACCATTAGGGCATGTTATACCCAAATTACGAAAGCTAATAAGGCTGACACTCAGGCTAAAATCATAAATTATACCTCCAGAGTCCATGCTTAAACAAACTAGCTATAGACATTGTATTATAGGCAGCTTGATACATGAACCATTGGCCTTTGAAAATCCACTGTTATTACATGTTCCTATTTCTCCCTTCCCAGCCAGCACCATGTCCAGCCAGGCTAAGATGGTCCAGGAGGTGAAGAAGGACATCCGGTCACTCCTCATCTCAGCCCAGCGAGGACTGACCTCCACCATGCTGCTGGACGACTACAAACAGTTCATCGGACACCCGCTGCCCTACAGGGAGCTGGGCTACAACGCACCTATCGGTAGGAATACAGCTACATGTATACAAGTCACAAAGTTGTTGCATGACAGCTTCCTGTATCATTAATCTGTGGTTATTCTTATTATTGCAAACAGTTGTATTGAGTCAAAAGACTTCAAGTTCAACATGAGTGGGGTTTTTTATTAAGTGTTTTTTTTTTTATATAACATAAAGGTCATTGCATGAAAAGAAGGCACAAGGAACAAGCATGCATAAAAGATGAAAACTTGCTGTATGATCAATACATGCAAGTAGCAAAAATATTTTTTTGATATGTGAGATACTGATCAAAAAGGAGTTACATGTACTAACAATTAAGAAACAAAATAACAATATTGCACCCAGACTATGTATTTTCAGGTGGCGGGAAGGAGAGGGATGGGCCCTAGACAGTGGATCAGCAACCCACTGCCCCAATATGGGTTCAATAACCTTTCGTAACCCCTGCTTCACCTATTGAGTCAGTAAAGTCAAGCTCGCCTAAGCTTGATGTTTCTGACTAAGGGAGAAGAGTTGCTGCTGCAGTGAGCATTAACTGACCTGAGCATCATCATTTGCGATGGATCTATCTGGCTGTATCGATTAAAAAATAATAAAAAGGCTATGACTATGAGACCTATCCTTTACCTCCTGTTTTTTTCATGTCAGATTTCCTGCGAGACATCAGTGATGTGGTACAGATCACCTGGCAGGGCAGTATGATGGTTCTGAGGGCTGTGGTGGATGAGGACACCCAGCGTGTAGCTAGTCTGGTGGCCAGGCAGAGGGAGAGCAGGCCCAGGCGGATGTACGAGAGAAAGTCATATCCTCGAGCCAAGCCGCTTCTGCCTGCTCCCACTGTACCCGCGGGCATCAGGACACAGGTACAGTACTTAACATTCAGGTGGTCATGGGTTCAAACCCCAGCCGGGTCATACCATACCAAAAGTTTTTTTAAATGGTACATACACGTCTGTGCTGCTGAAAATAATTTCAGGTTGGTAGAACATAGAATGTTGGGGTTTTCTTGCACACATCAAGTACATTTCTCACCTTGCTTATGTTTCGATGTCTATCAGACACACCTTCCTCAGAGCTTCTGACAGGAGTACTGCTTCTTACCGCTATATAAATGTACATGTATAGCCATTGTATATGTGCCATGAGACAGACTGCTTTGTCTGCTTAGCACACAGCACCTATGGAAAAGAGTATGGGAGTTGAACATACCCACTACCAGTGGACTAGCCCTACTTACACAACTGTGTGGAGATGGGCACTGCCCTATATGTCAAAAAACATGGGAAGGATTTTACCGGTAACTTTTGACTACCTTGTATCCTACATGATGCCCTTTGTAGTACATGTATTATGCCTTTCACTGGTCTAACACACAGCTTTACATGGCGTGTGTGTGTCTTACACTTACAGGTCAAGCAGCTGTTAGCCTCCTACCCTAGTGGGATCCCAACTTCTGCATTCAACACAGCATTCGGGCGTAGGTTTGGCAGCCAGATCAACTACACAAAGCTGGGGTACAAGTCCATGGGCGAGCTACTCAGGGCACTCCGTGATATCATCCTGTATGTACAGCCTTGTACAATTTTTCTTTTTAATAAATTTGCCTTTGAAGAAATTTTCTCTATAATGGGAGTTGAACTTATTGAGCTTACAAAATGTGGTTCATTTGCATGTGGTTATTACCTCCATATGTATGATGGTTGCATGGGTTTCGGGTGCTGGAAAAATTGTGAAAGAAAATATTGTTTTACAGAATTCAGCCACAGGCAGGCAACACTTTTCGCATCTATGGCAGAGAAGGTCCTACAACTAGTTCCACAACCACAGGTATTGCCGTAAGGATATCTCTGAGTCTGAGCTTGTATATTCTCTGTCAGAGTGTTTTAGAAGGCATTGCACATTGTGAACACACATAGGAACAATAGTACATGTACTTTGCTTGTTGGTCATGATTGTTAAACAGAATCCTTCATACATGAACTTTTGTTCCCTTTTAAGTGAGGTTATTGACAACTAAGTTGCCAGAAGTAAATTGTGGAAAATATTATAAATACTCTACAATATGTTGACCTGCAACATGATAAAGAAGTATGAGTATGCCGTTCAAACTGTGAACTGTCTTATTTATTTCTAACTGACTCCTGATGTGGTTTAATACCCCAGGCACGCATGCTACTAAGCCTCGCCAAGGACCCACACTTGTAACAAAACCGAAAAGTCCAACATCAACAGAATATGTGCTGGTGCAGCCACCCAGGACTCCAGAAAAGCCCAAATCAACTCCTAAACCAGAAGAGCCCAAACCTGCTCCTAAACAAGAACAACCCAAACCCACTCCTAAACAAGAACAGCCCAAACACAAACCTGAACCTGCCTCATGTGGGGTCATCGACCCGGTACTGAAGGAAGAAATCATACAGGTAAAACTATATTTTCAAACCAAACTCTTCTTCTTCTGTATACATGTATAAAATACCGGTTTAGTTTGTTTGGTAAGAATTTAAACTTCTGAGAAATAGTTTTACTGATTTTGTAGAAAAAGATCATTTTTTTTCTAGGCTCTAAAATGAGTATTCAACATCGTAACAGTATATTTACAAACACTTTAGGCAAAAAAGAGCTATGATCATAGAGATATTGTAACACATGTTGAATTGTGTCAACAGGTTCTAGCAGAGAGGCCGAATGGAATGTGGGCAAAGAGACTACCATTTGAGTATAAGGTACCAAAAATATTTAGTTTTAGTTAATAATTCAACAATAGGTACTTAATGATATTTTCTCTACTTTCTAAAAAGTATCCTATATTTACTTCTGTCTACAGTCAGTGCTGATTGAAAGGAATCTGTTGAAATGATATACTCATAAGGATGAAAAACGTATTTGTGATAACAGATAACAGCCAGAAATGTGAAGAGTTGGCAAGAAATTTACAATAATAAAAAAAATGAAAAATAACAAGGACTGAATATTTTATGGATGTATGAGATCTTCAGTTGTTCCAATTGTATTTTTCTTGTGTTATTGTTGTTGTGTAGAGAAAACTAGGGAAAGAGCTTCCGCTGCAGGAGAATGGTTTCTACAGTGTGATAGAGATGATCTCAGCCCTGACTGATGTAGCTGTCATCACACGACCCAACCCTAGTGGAGACTGGTGGCTCTGTGAACAGAAAGCCTACCGGGAGAAGGAAGGTAACATGCTCAAGCAGAGCATCCATAGTGATTGTTTCTGTAATTGTTTAACATTCTATAGGTGATGTACAGATTGGAAGTAAGGATATTTAGTGAATGGAAAACACTATCACAAAGGGCTGTTCAGTATGATTCAACAAATCTTTCAGGTACATGTCCAAAATACTGAGTGCACCAATACTGTGCCTAGATGGAAATATATGTAAGTACATGCATGGACATATTTATTTTGTTATTAAAAATTGCAATACACCAAGACATGTATAGGCATCGAAATCAGTGAGTGACTTCTTTGATTTGAAATTTTCTAATGACTGAAGCATAAGTTCTTTGCATAAGATACCAAAAGTCCAAATAAACATTCTTTCATCATTTTAAGACCACAGGTTACTTGTTGAATTCTTCATGTATAGATACCTGATCTTACATTTATGTAGACAAGTCCTCTACATGGTTAATTCAATCTGACCTACATTGTACACTGGTAGATGAGAAGATGAGTACATCAGCCGTCAGTCCCCCCTCCCTGGAGCTGCTGATTGTACAAGTCCTACAGACTCACCCTGAAGGCATCAAGAGTAAACAGTTCCCAGAGCTCTTCAAGGTAGGATTCCTGCATTGTGTTTTCTGTTTGTGTAACTGTGTTATTCTATTACATTCTGCTGTGTGTGGCTATTCCCCAAACCTTCTGTGAGTCAGTTAGAATTGAAAATGACTCAAGTGTCCCACTTTGAATTGTTCTAAGACACGATTTCTTGTAAGCAGCAGCTCCTTGCACCTTTCAAAGGTTTGAATACAGACAATACTCAGGTACAACCATGGTAAATTTTCCAAATTGTTGTCTTTTTATGAAAGCTTACATATTTCAACCTAAAATTGAGTGTTTACACATTTTACTGATTTTCTAGTGCTAAATTGTCAAAATTGCCATCTTTGAGATACAATTTACCTAGGTTCATGTCTGGTACAGCTACAGTACAGGTATACCAGATGTTCAGGTCTTGAACTGTACCTTAACAATTTTACAGGGATGGGTATTAGGTGCACAGCCTTACTCTCTGAAGATCATAGACATTAAACTGTGAGGTCTTCTTTACGCCATGTCTGTACAGACTCTGACAGGACGTGCCTTACCAGTGGAGGAACTAGGGTACAAGAGCACAGAGACACTACTTCTCAACATGCCAGAGTATGTCAAGATGATGTATAAGGGAGCAGGTTGGAGTTCTTCTCATACATAGATGAAGGCTTTTTTCTACTACCAATAATATGAAATGTCTTGTATGTATGTAATAATGAACAGTCTGTGTGTTATGAAACAACTTTTATAAGTCCTTAAGTGAGTTATGATCAACTGTACTGTCAATTTATTTTCTCAATTTTGCTTTAGAAATGAAAACGTTTTCACAGTCATGATCAAAACATTACAGTAGCACAAAAAATGTTCAGGATGCCATGATTTTGTGGTACAGTGGTATCACAAAATTAAAACCTCCCAGACTATTTTCAAGATTTACAGTGACATGTATGTCACAGCTGCTTTGAATGTTGCCACTCTACTCGAAAGAAAAACTCACACTTACATGTAGATATCATTGCCTTACTACACTATAAGGTTCTCTATAGCTTTCTGTCGTAGAATGAAAAGTTGTAAGAAAGTATTCTTTTCCGCACACACACAGGAACTGTGATGTTGTTTGCCAGAGAAGATGCTCTGGAAAAACTACAATCACAACCAAAACCGGCAGTAAAGGAAGAACAGCCAAAGAGTCGGGTAAGACCACAAATTTTCTTCCAATGTTCATTGGTTTTTAATCAGAATACATAATTGGAAAATAGTTGTAAAGTGCATTTTCCAAGGACACAACATTGGGGCCTGTTAGGGATTTGAACCTAGAACCTTTAGATTCTAAGTCAACTATAGCAAGACCACCTTGCTATCTTGTAGGATGGTATGTACAATGTGATGGTTCTGTGTTATTACTTTTGCAGATAGAATATGTGTGACTCAGCAAGCATGCAGTAGACCAAGAGTTGCAGAAAATTTATGGCATCTCTGTCCTTTGTACAATTCCCCTACCTTTTTTCCTGTTCGTAGGTCAAGAGGGCTGACCATGAGGGTATCCCCATTGATGCCGTAGGAAGTGGGGTGTTCTACCCACAGTTGCCCCTCCCTGAGCTGACAGCTGAAGGACCACTGTACATAGAGGTGTACATCTGTAACGTGGTGGACCCGGGAAACTTCCATGTGCAGTTCCGAGGCCAACAGACAGCTGACGCACTGGAGGAGTTGATGGATAAACTGGAGTAGGTGTCAGACTTTGGCAAATGGCATTGACATTATGAACAAGATTGAACTGTAATTGCCAACACAAAATATTGGACTGGACACAAGAAATTGAAATTTTCGACTGTACAACTCCAGTCTTTGTCAAGGAATGAGCAATCCACCGCTTCTGTGACGTCACGCAGATAACACACGTGACTCCGTGAGCAGTGGATCATAGGTTGCAGAAAGTCTGTGGCACCCCCCGTCTTTGTTGAGAGATGGTTGTAATGCCCTGATGTAGATGGCCTCTTAAATCATTCCTTGACAAAGACTGGAGTTGTACAGTTGAAAATTCGAAATACATTTTGTACACATGGATATTGTTTCTCTGACAAGCAACTTTTAGAATTTATCCAGTTGTTTGAGGAGGTCAAAATGGTCTCCCCACAAGCTGACAGTTCATTGAGTTAACTGGTTCAAGATTTTTTTTGACTTTGTTTCTCCAGGAAAGTTTACTGCAGTACTGAGGGTAGGAACTACAAGATGAGGCCAGACTTGATCGCTATAGGACAGGCCTGTGTGGCCATGTTTCCTGAGGATGAGAACTGGCACAGGGCAATGATCACTGACATACCCAGTCTGGACTTTGTCACGGTATGGGAACGTCTTTCCAGATATGTGCAAATTTTCAAACTTGCAATTTCCGAATTGCAGACTTTCCAAAATTTTATGGACGGCATCCTCAGCAGATTTGAAATCTAATGCACAAGCCTAAGAAAACAAGATGTTTAAATGCAGCCTCATAGTTTAACATTCTGTATTCAACAAGTGAGAAAGCAATGCCAATGCGTCTAGCCCAATATCACCAACCATGCTCGAGGCTGTCACACAAGTACACACAAAGCTATCACACTGCATATTTTCTATTTTCTGTATTTTCTTTTGTCATGTTGACCATAGCTGGAGACCTCCTTGTTGCTAACTCAAGTGCCTTTGATTAACTTACAGGCACATTCAGCATTGATGGAAATGATATTTTCTTTACCTGAACTTCATTTATGATGTAGCATATTTAAGAGAAACTGACAGGAAACATGTCCCTTGCAGGTGTCGTATGTTGACTATGGGACGATAGCCAGTGTGCCCAAGAGCGCCCTCCGCATGTTGAAGTAAGTACTGCATCCAGTTCTTAGTTTTCATCATTCTATGGCAAAACATATTTTGTGTTGTTCTTAGGAAGGTTTTTACACCATACAGATTTGTAAGTAAGTGTATGTCTTTGTAGCTACTTCCCAACAAGAAATGTGCACTGGAGACTAGAAAGTCTCAATAATTTATTGACAAATACATGAGGCGACCCTGAGTTCCCTTTGAACACTTTATCGGTAACATAACAATGCTAGATTAATGGTTGAAGTTTTGTCTAACTACCAAAAATCTTGACATGCTTGTAGAAATGTTAGTTTCGCAGTGATCTCTCAACTCATGACATAGGGAATGAGCAATGTTACAACATATATATATAATATACAGGTCAGAAAAAAAACAAAATGTTATTGTTAAAATGAATCCAACACCCCCCTCAAACACATTACTCTCTAACCTTACTTGTATTCCCAATGGCATCTCAAATTCATTGTTAGTTATGGGTTCACCACACCACGAAGTGGTGGTGAACCCATATTGCTTTTTCTGATGTTTCTTCTCCTCCTTCTCCTCCTCCTTCTTCTCCTGCCATTTTTTAAATGGATTCAGCTTCTTCATTTTAGGGCCCAAGGTCCTGAAATTTGGTATGGAGGTACAGTGGGCAAATACCCCTAGGCGTTTTTTAAATTATTGTGATACAGGCTTTTAGAATGGTTTTATTTGAGTTTTTTGGCTGTGTTATAGCAAATGTATTACTGAGTTAGTGTGCAGTGTTACCACATTTGGGCATGAGTCATCACGATGGAATGCAGGGCATCAACCAATAGGCATGCAGCTTTCCTCTATTCTCCTTGCTGATTGGCTGTTGGAATTTAACAGGCTTAACTTAATTAATACCTGCTCAGATCCATTCCATACTGACAGCAGGTCTGTGTTCAAGTGTTTTGGTAGGCATTTTAAGCTTTCCTGCTCCAGCATTGGAATGCGGGGCATGAACGCTTCTTTTTTTCTTGAAAATCAACAGTTTGCATTATGCAATTAAAAATCCTAACCAATAATGTAGGGAATAGCTATCCAACTGTTGTAGTCTTAGTTGTATGTTACTTCATACTATAGTTATATCAATGTAAAGCATTGTTTTCCCTTGTGTTTCTCATTCTTTCCCTGCCATGTCGTAAAATGTGGTGAAGCCATTGCTGTATTTGCTCCAAAGCAAATGTCGGCCTTTCTAGTATTGTTTCTATCTTAATACTGGCTGGTATAACACAACACTTCTTCTCACATCGACACTGCAACCTGTTGAAAAATATGCTTTTAACTGTTAAGTTTAAATATACAAAGCTTACACAAAAGTTTTAGTTTAAGGTACCTGTTGAAACAAATGGGAAGACCATGTAGTGTGATAAGCATATAGTATCTGTCTGCTCAGGCTTTTAACTATTACTGTCACATCTAAATTTAGTTTAAGGTACCCGTTAGAACAAATGGAAAGACCATATAGCTCACTCACACTCACTATCCAGTTTAGCGTCTGTTGTTCCCGTCTTCCGAGGGTTAGCATGATTTACATTCAGTATCTGTATACCCAGGCAATTCAAAGTCTGGTAAGTTTACCAGAAAACAAAGCCATCTTTTCTTTATCATAATCAGTAACAGAAAGCTGTCTTGTTATCTAAGTTATGTATTACTGGTACTAATATCAGTGACAACATCTGCATTTCACTTCTCTACCGTGAACATGTCGGTGGTGGGGTACTGCTCCTTGTTGTGGTGAACATGGTTCAGCATGTCCTGTGTCTGTTTGGCCAGGTGAGGTTCCATTGTGTCGTACACATCAGTCAGGAGGTCAGACAGGGGAGGTTTCTTCCTGGCCTCACCTGCACGGAAAGCCTCCATCACCTAAAACAGTTAAAACAACACATTAAAGATATGATGATATCTCTATTTATATTGTATGGCTCTGTGTGAGCAAACAGAGATGGGCAATGCTCTAAACACTATCTGCTGTGGGAATAGGATTGTATCCCTCCTGCAGGAGTATTGTGGTCAGTCATTTTTTGGTATTCACAGCTAAAACACACTGTTCCCTTTGTTTAATCTGCATGTTATTTTATACGTCATCTGCAGGCATGCCTGTGATGAGGCACATATTTTTATTTTTACCATTGCTGTTTTCGTGGTCAATGTAATATTTCAGAAGCACCCCTACATTTAAAAGACACTTGGGACTGGCTGCAGAAAAGCCGTTGTTTGGTGTTTCCTTCAGGCAGATACTAAGGTGCGTTGTTGTGTTGCCTGTTGTAAGGTATTGGAGCTGCATGAGCCAGGTATCTGGACAGACAGGCAGTAGTCTGATCACTGTAGGCATACTGGTAAGCCTACGATGGTCTGGCTACCAGGCTGGTTAGGGAAGGACCTGTCCTGACCTGTTGTTTAGCTTACAATGGTCTGGGTACCAGGCTAGTGAGGGAAGGACCTGTCCTGACCTGTTGTTTAGCCTGCCCCCTGTAGTCTGTCTCCTGCTGCATGTCCCACCAGCCCTGGTGCAGGAGGTAGCGCTGCAGTCTGGTGATGGGACTGTTCCCACGGTAGTGGTCCACCTCGTCACGGGTCCGGTACGCAGAACTGTCGTCACTCGTACTGTGGTCACCAATCCTAGGGAAGGAGACGTGTAGATAGAGTTGTAAGGACTGCAAATCGTTTTAACAGGGAATCATTGCATTCACAACTAATGGTTCAGACAACAGAAAAATGATGCTGAATCATGGCAGTGACTAAAAAGATGTTGGAATGAAATCCAGGTAGTACAGGTAAAGAATATTGAGAAAAATCTTGTTTAAATTATTAATTACAACTTAATTGTGCTAAATAATTTTGAGTCTAATAACCAAAAAATTTAGAGAATACCTGTAAGCAATCAAGTGCACTCCAAGCAGTGCCTTGTTTGTGTATATTTTAAAAAGAGTTATGGGAAACTTGCCTGTATGTCATGGCTTCTATCAGTACAGGTCTGTTCTCAGTCACACACATCTGGCGAGCTGCCTTGGTCACGTTGTACACAGCAAACGTGTCGTTCCCATCCACACGGATGGTGGCCATGCCATAACCACTCCCTCTCGAGGCTGGGGAGTGAAAACATTATTCGATATAAAGCATTGTCAGTTAACCAGACAGAATTTAAACACTAATTTGTCTTAATCACTGCTATAATAATGAATGGGCCTGTAGGGTCCAGATATGAATTGTGGATTCCCCCCTCCCTCAACCACCTGTGGAAAAATGTGTAGTTTTCTAGAGATGTAGCTTTACCTACTTTTTCCCACCTTAGGTACACTTCCCATAGTTATTTTTACAGTCTTTAAGGCTCTTCTAAACAAGCCATTGGTGGTAGTACATTCTGTGTAGTACATACCGGTACGTGCATATGGGCAGAACGACAATAACATTTACTGTGCTACAACATGAACTAAGTTGGATACAATCTCCAGCTTACCTATTCCATCACCCCTGTACTGTTCTGAAGTTGGTGTAGAGATGGCGTAGCCATTGTTTCGACTAGATGGATACAAAGATACAGTCAATGTACACAATCTATAGAACCATGATATAGAAGAGTGAAAAACTAAAGAGCTTCAACTATATTGGGCAGATTTCTTTGAATTGGGATATTGAAAGGTTAACTTATAACTTATTATATATATTATATATAGAGTCTTGTTAGTTAGGACAATTTTTGTACATGTATGATTTTGTAATCGTTACCAGAAGAAGATGACAGGACAGTCCAGTGTAGCAGCAAAGTTAAAAGCAGCATGTGCATCTCCCTCACTAGCAGCTCCGTCCCCAAAGTAACACACCACACACAGGCCTGTCCCTGCTCGCTTCAGGGCATAGGCAGCACCAGACGCTAGAAAAGGAAAAAAAAACATTGGAGCGTTTTATTTCTGACTCTTTATACAGTTACTCCATTTATTTTGCACTATGTAATGTTCTAACCTTCATTGATATTTCAATTGTATTTCAAAGAGGAAAGGAGTTTGAAAACACCAAAAGGATTAGAAAGCTGATTTTTTTCTTCACTCTGTAGAATACTGTAAAATGACAAATTTTATTTTGTAAGTCTTGTTGCTTTTTTCTGATATGTATGACACATACATATATCATTGAAATGTGTGGTTTGCAAAAACTGAACTCCTGACAATTTTTCTAAATCATCAAAAGATTAATTTATGCTTGTCAAGATAAAGCATTTTAGACCTAGGACTGTGGGAAATGTGTGTTGAATGTCATTTTACCATGTGGCATCTGTGTGGCCAGGGGGGAGGAATAGGTAGCAAAGTTGTGTTCTTTGGACCCGAAGTTGACAGGAAAAGCTCTCCCCTTGTTGTAGTCCAGGTCATTACTGAAGCACTGGTTCATGAAGTCATCCAGGGTGTAGCCTCGCCACAGGAAAACACCTGCAAGAGACCACGATGGGTAGATAAAACCCCTGTCAGAGACCATGATGTAGACTGATACTAGTGATAGTCTGCAAGGATCTTACTTTGCTGAAATCTTACAACTAGTAGTAGTACATGTCAAGCTTATCACCATCTTACAGAACATTTACTGTGCTGACTGCCATGCTGGTGTCCTTATTTGCATTTTAATGCATGTGTATACAGCACAGGCAAGTTTCTTCTGGTATTCTCTTCTTTGAGCTGTAGATGTTCAATCATGGCTACTAATATTTGAGAGGCTTAGAAGATGAAATGAATGTCCAAAAATACTTACGAGTTATGATTCACAGATTTCTTTCATGCAAATTGGGACACCGACATGGTGGATACTGCTCCTACCTGCTTCTCGGTACTGTCCAAAAGCCATATCCCGTGGGTCCAGAGCAGCAGCACTCCCGATGTGGGTGCCTTCCTCCCCGTAGTTTGTCATGTAGAAGGATATCCTGCCCTGTCTCTGGGCGTTGTACAGGATCCCATCCATGGTGCTCAGCATCACCATCTTCCTGTACATCTCCAACACTGTGTCTTTGGACAGCTACAGCAAGGATGGCATTTCCATGATCACAATGAGTTTATATTATAATGTACCAGTAAGAATTGTATTCATAAAGGACATGTGATCTATTAAGCTGAATCACACAGCAAGAAAATAGCTTGCCATAAATTCATGGTTTGCGAGCTCAAGACTTACAGAGGACACTATTAGCAGTAGTAGATTATGCAACCAGTGCACTACATGACTTTTTAGGGATCAGTCCTTTACTACTGGCCTTAGCCATTAGATGTGACCAGGTAGATTGTGGGAAAAATTCTGTTCAATTCTGGAGTGATTTTCAGTGGCCTTCTGTTGATCAACAAATTTGGCCAAAGGTAGTTGACTGGTGTTTCTGTTACCGACGCATGTATTGTATACCTGTGGATCGTGACTTAGGTCCAGTATCTTACCTGTGGGTCATGACTAGGGTCCAGTATCCTGCCCTCCCCGTCCATAACTCTGTAGACCGGGATCCCAGGGGTCTCCTCAGGCAGGTGGAAGTCCATACTCAGGGTGAACTGGGCCTTGGTGGAGCCTGGGAACTGTGGCCGCTCCTCATCCAGGTCCAGCCCCTGTGTGCTGGCATACTGGCACTAGGGATGGAACGGGAACATGAAATCGAAGATATATGAGTTTTTTTGTGAATTTCTTGTCTTTTATTCATTGTTGTGCATTTCTTGCTGATCTGTCTATATTTTCCCACTGGCTCCCATAAGACTGGCAATGGCCATGCATACACCAAGCAGGACATTAAAGATGGACTTAAGTTAATAAAATAATATAATGAGATAACCATTTCTGGGGCCTTTTGTCATGACTTGATCTGACTACAGTGTTCTTGTTGGTGTTTCTCATGTGCCTAACGTGTAGAAATAACTACCGCAACAAAAGCAAACGCACAAACAGACACAACAAATTACAAATAACACTACATTGTAGGAGATTTGGTAGGAGTGCTTTGGTCCATGTACTAGTACTGTATTCTCCTTGGTTAGATAGCTCCTTTGCACCAATGTGGCTTCTTAGAGGCTAATTCTTGAGGCTAGTACATATACTAGTGTACCCTAGCAAAGGATAATGTGAAGGATTGTGAGTGTGTACTTCCATTGGCATCCTTATTTATCCTGTTGATGAATGGTCATTTGCATTTGAAAGGTTAATTGATCTGTGGTAGGGGATTGTCTTGAAAGTCCCCCAAAAGCTCTCATTCAAAACAAATGCATCCATGTACACATGAGCTACATGCATCTGTGTGGAGTCTGCAATTGAACTTGTGATGCTTAGCATTTTAAACAGGCACGAGCGTAACCCAATTCCCCAAGATTGCAGTACTGCCAAGTACGGCCAACCATAGCCTGGTTTTCAATCAAAGAAGGGTTTTACTTATCATTTTCATTCAGCTATGAAACAGAATGTGCAATATCTATTCATATACAGTTTCCCACATATAATTGATCAGTTTTATCACACCTCATATTTCTAGGTACATGTAGATCAATCCGAAGTAAACAAAACTGTTAGCATCTGCTTATGGAAAGTATCCGGATAAATCAACACTAGGAAATCAGTTCTTAAGCTTAATGCACAACCTACCCTTTGGTATCTTGAAGGAAGTCCATTGCAGTTTATAGAAGGGAGTTTAGACCTGTTTTTATTGCACACATGCCTGAACCCTTGGAGGAGAGATACAGAGCCTCTGGCCACAGCCATGCTGGCAGCCGCCCATTCATTACCTGACCTCTGACCTCATGTCCAGGTGTCATGTTACAGGGTGCATCCAGGAGTCAGTGGGACAAACCATTGTCACAGTCTGTGAGGGGGTGGTCAATTTTGCTCACATCTCACTCAACAACCTTTATGCCATCATACAAAGCATGACAGTGCTCGGCTGGGTATTTCTTTTCTTTTTCTAGTGACATTAAGCTTCATAAATCATTTTGGCTACTATGCTTGACAGACACGGATAAGAAACACAAGCAAACATACCAACAAACACACTGAAAACTAAAAAATCCATACACCGAAGTAATAAATTGTTGTACTTGTGTGTTCCCCAGGGCAGAGTTCTTGCACCTCCCCATCCAGGCTGTTGGGGCCAGACTGGCCAACATCGTACCAAACTCACTGGTTAGTAAAACATCACACAATGAACAATTTCAGTTTGTCAAATTTGTTCAACGCAAGGAGGTTGAATCTCCATCAAATAGATGTGGTCACATGTTTTTGTTTCATTATTGGAAGCAGGAGTTTTTTTTATTTGTTTTCTACTTTTGGTGACTTTTAATAACGTTTGATACACATTTTGTAACTTTTTTCCAGGACAACCATTGGTCTAGTGGTGCCCGTGACAGGTTGTTAAGTCTGACCAGAGACAAGCCATTAGTGGCACTGGTTACACACATCAAGGTACAGGTTTTTTTTTTCTGCTCAAATTGTGACAACTCAATACAGAAATATAAGCTTTGTCTCATATTGTTTTGTTGTTCATATATTGTTTTGTTGCTCATAATGTGAATTACAAAATACATCTTTATTTTTTTTTTTTTTTTTTTTT